TTGGATGTTGGGGGGGCGCGAGTGACATTAGACAAACTTAGGGGGGCGCATGTCCTAAAAGGTTGAAAACCCCTGCTCTAATAGACACTATGGGGACTTCCGCCAGCAGGACCGGTGTCTGAAGCACTTGAAACAACTCCAATCCCATTGGCCCACGTAGCCCGTGACGTCACAGGCGGGCACCCGGAAGCAAAAGAGGGTGCCTGCCGAACACGTCACTAACTTTTGATGTCTTCAGGAGCCGTTTATTTGACAGTGCATGTGAAGGAGTTATGGAGAAAACCAAGGCAAGTGAGCATTTTAGAAAGTATGTGCCTTCGTGTCCAAGGTTTCTGACACCCGAGGACACATGCGATCTATGCGTTATGTGTCTTGGTGAGGAGCACACACGTTCGGCGCTCGAGGGCTCTGAATGTGCTCATTGTGACAAGTTTCCAATGAGAAATCTCCATTCGCGTTTGTCCCTCTTCTCGAGTGATAAGGGACAAGCGTCTGCATCTCTTGGCTCATGCTGCAGAGAGGTTTGAGAAGGGCGTGGATAAGCGTGAATATGTGTTTGACTCTTGAGACAGCGGGATGCGCTCATGGTGATGCATTCACGGGGCTACTGAGAGCAAAGGTAAAGCTTTGCCTTTTACTCAAGATTGTAGACAGCGTTTGCCTGAGCATGCTCACCTCTTGAGGGAGTCGATCAAACTCAATGCAATGCGTTCGCGGCAGTTTCTGTTCTCGCCTGATTCTTGAGGAAATCTAGTATTTGAACAGAACGTGTTTGGCTCTCGGGGGAGCTAAATGCACGCTGCGTGATTCGATCGTGCTGAGAAATGCCTCGTCTTGCTCTTTTGAGGAATGAGAATTGAGCACCTACAACCTGTGTTTCTGGTCCCATGGCTGCCGAGGCAGCTAGGCAGACCGATCACGGGGATTGTAGGCGGGGCATGGAAGAAATCTGACAGGAAGTGCTTTCCCTTTCAGGAGTTCCTTTCATTCTGTTCTCTCCAGAGGGATAGTAGTCAGCATTCGCACGAGCATGTCCGGCTCTCGAGGCACTCGGTGGGATCCAGATACTCTATCTCTTGGGGGTCATCTCATCCCCCTGATAGCACTACATTGGGCTCATCTGGTGAAAGTGGTTGGCGATAGAGATGAGAGTGTGAGCACTGAATATCCCCAACCTAGCTCCAGTTTTGCATACGGGGAATGTTGGATGTAATGGCGCGCGCTACTAAGAGGCTTGATTTAGTCTGGTCACACGAAAGGCAGAAGTCCGCCTGTGGCAGATTAGACGAGTGTTTTCTGGCCGGTCATGAACTCCCCTCCCCCAGGAGTCTCCCCTTTCTTCCTGACCTCCACACGGAGTTAGTGAGATTGTGGGACAAGCCATATTCAGCTAGGCTGCATCTTTTTCAGCATGCGGATTACGCAAATGTTGAGGGTGCAGCTGAGCATGGATATGCGATAGATGCCCCCTGTGGAGGAGACGCTTGCGAGGGTTCTCTCCCAGGGTGAGTCGTCTTCTTTAAAGACTACTGCTCTGCCATCCAGACCTCTTCAGGGCGCATCTGGATGGTAGGGTGTATGTGGTGGCAGGTCAAGCTGGTGGAGCCTTGCACACAATGGTTGTGTTACAAGCTTACCAAGCTGACTTGCCTAGAGATCTAGATGAGGGCAGGGTTTGTCCCCTGGGGCAGTCGAGGAACTGTGCTGCACCACAGACTTGGCTCTTGGCGCCACTAAGCAATGGTGGTTACGGAGGTTCATTTGTGGTTAAATCTCGCGGATATCGGGAGAGAGGTAAAAGCTTTTCATCTTGATGCTCCGCTGTCGCCTACTGGGATTTTTCGGCAACTTCGCTGAGGCGGTGGTCGAGAAGTTCAGGAAGGCGAAGGCGTGGTCCGCTGCCTTACAGGAAGTTCATTCCCCGCCGTCCCAAGTCTTCCTCTAAAACCTCTGAGAGGGCTGGTCCGTCTCGATCTGAGGATCATAGGCAGGATCAGAAGAGTAGCGTAGCCATAAAAAGTTGGGCACAGAGGCAGGCGAGCGCTAAGAGAAGCTGCTTACATCGGTCCCTGAGGCAGGACTAATGTTATTCTTATGTGTTTCGCTTGAACCACTGACTGAAGGTCCAGTCTCTCCCTTGTGATGTAGGCTTTTTTCAACTCTGTGGTCGGGCTGCCCCCATTATCAGGGTTTTTCAAGTTGGCAGCCCCCTGAGCCTCTTCTAGCCGTCTCCCCTTGGGGTTTTTAATAGCTGGTCTACTTCCTTTATCCCTCAAGCTTAAGTCAGGTAGTAGGGGTGGGCTGTCCTCCCCCTACAGGGTTTTTAAGTGGGCGGTCCCCCTGGGCCCTGCATGTTGCTTTGGCTCATTGTAACTCAGTCTTCTGAGGATAGCTGTGTTCTTAGCTTGGTTAATGTGATGTCCCTCCTATTGGCTGGGTTCCCCATTTTTTGAGTTATGTTAGTGGCCCCAGGTGTCTTGCCCACTTTCTTAGGGAAGGTTCAGTGTATGTCTGTCCCTTCTCTTGGTGCTCTCTCACCAGGTGAGCAGGCATGTGCCGTGGCATGGCTAAGTAAGCATTCCATTCCCCATAGTGTCCGCTAGAGGACGCAGTAAGTGTAAGCGTGAGTTCCCTAGAAGGGAAATGTCTCGGGTTATGCATGTAACCATGGTTCCCCGAGAGGGAATGAGATGCCGCGTCCCCTCGCCATGCCTAGGGCTTGCCTGTTTTCACGTCTCCTTCAGACAACCAAGTTAGTGACGTGTTCGGCATGCAGGGATGGGCAGTATTTCAGATACATGTATTTAAAATACGTATTTGAAAAACAAAATACTATTTTGTATTTAAAATCCTTTTGAAAAAATCAAATGTATTTTGTATTTAAATACATTTAAGATTAGTATTTTTGTATTTTCAAAATACATAAAATACTTTGTGCCAGTCAACCTCTTTATCAGGGTGCTGATTTCGTTCATCAACTAGTTCAGACACACACCCTCCCCCCAACATTCATCACGTGAGCTGCAGCTGTAAAACTTCATTCAGCATTGGGTGAGTGACTTTTCTGGAATAAGATAAGGTGAGGATGTCATGGTCAACTGTACTTGTTGAATAAAGTTAAAATAGTGCATCATTCAGATTTGCCTTCAGTTAACATGAAAGAAGAAATGAGTACCAAATAGTGTTAGCCAATCAGCTTTGATAGTTAATCGGTTGTTGTTTTTTATCAACTAGCTTGTCAAATGTGTTTAAAGCATTACTGCATGTTAGGACTGGGTGATATGACAATACATATCGTGGCAATGATATAAAGTGTGAATCGACTGAACTTTTCTAAATCGTTTACATAGACAGGCCTATCGGGGTAAGCGAATATATCCATGCAGCTTTTAGTAGGCAGGAATTATTGGAACGTTGGAGTGGAAAAGCATGAATGAATGAGCAATAGAAAGTGATGTACTTGGTGCAAAGTGGAACGCTGACAAGTAGTTCTACACTTTTGACTTAAAGGTCTTTTCACACGGGACGCGGCAAGCGGTGGAATCACCGCCCAGCTCCCGATTTCTGTCGTAGTGGAAGCGTTTTGTGCAGTTGAAGCCTTGTTTATACTTTCGCTTGCCTCTACGCCGTGAACCTGCTGACTGCCCGCTCCTCCCTAAACAGACGAGGCTTTTATACTTGATGCTCTCGCAGTTGTATAATTCTGTGAAACGACAGGGGGCGACTCTGAATAATTGTTCTCCAAACCATCAGAAAGCAGCAGTGGGAGGAAGTAGTTTGCCAAGTAGTTGTCAAACAGTCGTTTCATGAGAAGTTTGTGAATAAATGGATTTTTTCACATATAAACGGATTAGGTTGTGGGTAATTTTGGAGGATACATGTGAAAATGTTTTTGAGTACACTTCTTAAACCCACACAAAAGAATTCAAAGAATCGTGTAAAATGCAGTAAACTTGAGATTATGATTTGTGACATTGGAACAAAACATATGAATGAACATATGAACAAAGTAATTTTGAATGTTGATAACTTGACAGTAGCAATTTTTCCATACTATATTTTTTCCATACTATGGAAGTCTACTGTCAAGTGTTTGGTTAGCAACATTATTCAAAATATATTCTTTTGTGCCCAACAGAAGACAGAAACTCATGCTTTGGAATAACTTGTGGGTGAGTAAATAACAGAATTTTCATATATTTCACTATCCCTTAAAACTTATTTCATTTCATTTAGTTGCCAAAACAAGTTGATCTGTGATATTGCTATTATACAACAGTTCAATAAATAAACTTCGCTCAAAGACAGTTACTTTTTCATTCGTGAACGAACTAGTGGATTTAAAAGAATCGTTTGACTAAATTATTCATTATCACTCATAACGACAGTTGTCACCACAGGCATAACGATGTGACCTGCAGAAAGTGTCCTACTAAAAAATCTTATAATACATAGGTTTGGAAAATATAAATATATTATAATAAATAAATATATTATCTTAAATATATTATACTAATATAAATATATTACAGAAAGAATAAGAGCAATGTACTAGTATGCTATGCAGCCACTGAACAAAAACAACAGCTCATAAAACTTATAAAAAACATTATTAAACATTGCCATCATACAACTGCTTCAGAGTTGTCCAAAATGTTTTAACTTTAGAGGTAAAAGTACCGTTCTCATAGAATAGTGGAGTGAGGACGCTCTCCTGAGCGACAGGCTCAGGTGTGGTAAAGAACGTAATGGCAGCTGAGCCACAATCCACCAGGAGCCCAGTACCCTTGGACTGAGACATACATAATGACTAGACCAAAACAAAGAACATGTTAGATCAAATAAAACGTGATATAATCAGGTTACATAATCTATATACACATTAGTGGTCAAACATTTGGAATAAATATAGATTTTGTAGACTTTGTGGATGGTGACAATTCTTTTAATAATCCATCTGACATAGCTCAAAAATGTAATGAATTATTTGTTAATGTTGGTCATAAATTAGCTAATAATATCCCTACTGCAAATGGTGAAACCTTGGATTATATTTCAGGAAATTGTCCTATTATTTCTATTTTTAATCCACCTGAAATTCAAGAAATAAGTTAAATTATTGATGAATTAAAATGATCTTCAGCGGGTCATGATAATATTTCTGTATTTCTTATTAAACAGGTGAAATATTCAACATTGCAGCCACTTCATCACATATTTTCTCTTTCTTTGAAAACAGGCATTGTACCAGAGGATTTAAAAATAGCTAAAGTTATTCCTCTGTTTAAAGCAGATGATCCACAATGTTTTTAGATACAAATTCTATTCTTTACAAACATCAATATGGATTCCAAAAAAACAAACAAAAAAACACTCTACTTATATGGCTTTGCGTCACACGATTGACAAGGTTACCCTTGCACTTCAAGAATTTACTTGTAGCATTTTTCAGGTGCATCTCAATAAATTAGAATGTCGTGGAAAAGTTCATTTATTTCAGTAATTCAACTCAAATTGTGAAACTCGTGTATTAAATAAATTCAATGCACACAGACTGAAGTAGTTTAAGTCTTTGGTTCGACTTGACAAATATTCTTACTCCAGTAATGTTTGCTGACGACACAACCTTAGTTCTATCTCAATTAAATTTCAATTCATTAATTAAGAATGCAAATGATGTTCTAAATGTTTTTGCTAATTGGTTTAATTTAAACAAATTATCTTTAAATATAAAAAAATAAAATTTTATTAATTTTAGTGGTAGAAAATTATACCCTAAGAATTTATCAAAAATTACAATAGATTATATTGAGGTGCCTCAAGTGTCAACTACAAAATTCTTGGGAGTTTTTGTTGATGAGACTTAAGAGTAGGAGGTAACAAGCTGATTATGTGAGCAGTAATATACATAAATCTGTCGGGTTAGGCATCTTGTTACTACAGAGTGTCTTCTTACGTTTTACTATAGTTTAATTTATCCGTATCTTTCATATTGTAATATAGTTTGGGCGAGTACATTTCCTACGACTCTTCAAAAAATGTTTATCCTTCAGATGCGGTTTGTTAGGAATGCAACCCGATCAAATGCATATACATCTGCTTCTTTATTTCAGAAACTTCAGGTTCTTACTATTTATGATATTTTTCAAATATGTGTTTTCATGTATAAGATATATTCAAGTGAGGGTAACATTCCAGAGCAATTTAGAATGTATTTTAAAGTCAATTCACAAGTTCACTGTCACTTAAGTCGTCAATTTTCAAATTTTCATCTTCCTAAAATTCTCACTTTGGGTTACAAGTCCGACTCTCTAACCATTAGGCCACGACTGCCCCCATAGGGGTATTCAATTATGGAATGGTTTATCTCATCTAGCAAAAAAAATGTTCAGTAACACTTTAGTTTAGGGACCAATTCTCACTATTAACTAGTTGCTATTAGCATGCCTATTATTAACATATTGGCTGTTTATTAGCACTTATAAAGCACTTATTCTGCACGACCATATTCTGCATCCCTTAATCCTACCCAATACCTAAATTTAACAACTACCTTACTAACTATAAAGAAGCAGCAAATTAGGAGTTTATTGAGGCAAACGTCATAGTTAATGGTTTGTTAATAGTGAAAATTGGACCTTAAAATAAAGTGTGACCAAATGTTCTTTTTAACATGTTATAAAATATGAATAAAGGATCATTTTAGTGCTTTGTAATTGTGTTTTTTTGTTTTTTGCTCTTTATGCATTTTATGTAACATATAAGGTTTGTTTTTGGAGTACATTATCTCTGGGTTTTTGACATATGTTGTAATTAATTTGCACTCATTTACATTTACATATTTGTTATTGTGATTTAGCTTTTTCCTTAATTTCATTAGTTGTTTTTGTTACCGTTTAGGTGGAGGCTCTAAATAAGCCCTTTTGGGTTTTCTGCCTCTCCCGGCACAGTATATGGATTGTACTTTTTGTTTTGTTTTTATTGTACATATTTTATTCTTGTGCAAATAAACTAAACTAAAAAACAAATGTAGCACGGTTTCCACAATGATCTTAAGTAGCAAAAACTGGTTTCAACATCAATAATAATAAGAACCATTACTAATATCTGAGCACCAATAATAATTGGGCACCAAATCAGCATATTAGAATGATTTCTGAAGGATCATGCGACACTGAAGACTGAAGTAATGGCTGCTGAAAATTCAGCTTTGCCATTACAGAAATAAATTACATTTTGACTGTATTTTTTTATGTATTTTACTGTATTACTGTAATATTGATTACATAAATGCAGCCTTTTGAGCATAAGAGACTTTAAAAACATAACTATTCCAAATGCATGTGGTGCCAGTCATTCTATGTCAGTCCATACCTGTGTGTTAGCAGAGATGGTGGCCTCCAGGGCATTGAGTTGACTCTCAGTGGCTTCGGCTCTGCTCAATGCTCTTTCCACCCTCATGCCGATGGCCTCTATCCTCTCCTTCATCCTCTTCTCGCTGCCCATGAGCACCTGAGCTGCCCGTAAGGCTTGCGTCACCATGTCCTCCACTTTTCTCAGGGACTTCAGCAGGTCTTCTGTAGCTGAACGCTCTGCTGATGAATCAGTGACCACAGCCACATCCCTAAACTGAATCTGAGTGTCGTCACAGGTGCTCGTTCCCTGGTCTTTGAGAAGCACCCTCATGCACCGCTTAGTCTCTTCCAGCTGGGCTGGTATGTGATTGACTTCCAGGCTTTGGATCCGCTTCTGAATATCCATCACAGTTTCTTGTGGAACTTGGGCAGCCTGGTTTTTCTTGCCCTCCTTAGTCTGGCCTCTCCACCAGGTGATGGCAGCCGCTATGTGTGCTTCCTGCGTCTGATGCTTGGCCTTGTTCTGTCCCTGCGCTGTCAGCGGAGTTTCAAGAAGCTCCAGCTCTTTTAGACTGAAAAGCAGATGGACATCATGCATCATGCAATGCAAAGCAATGTTAAAAGATGGCACAGGATAATGGAAATGATTCCTTACAGTGTGACCAGCTGATGCCTAGAACTTCCATGTTGTTGTTGATTCTGCAGATAGAGTCTCTGTAACTTCTCACTTGCACTGTTGCCAACTTTGTCCTGAAGAGCAGATAATTGTAATTGTAAAAACTTTATTGTCCCCCTTAGGGGCAATCTGTTCTGCAGCATGATAGATTTTTAATTTACCCCACATACCAGACAGACAATACACAACATTAATAGCACATTAAGAAAAACAAAATTAAATACTACCTCTTCCTAATACAAAAAAGAAAGTACTGCAAGTTTGAAATTGACATGAGGATAAAATTAAATGTTCAAAATCAAATTTTTATTTTTGCGTTGACTACAGTCTTAAATCAGTATCATTCAGATTATTATCATAGTTTTTTTAATTAACATTTTTAATTCGTTTGATTATTTTGATATTTTCTGTTCCATTTTTAGTTTTAAAGTTTTAGTAATTTTGTTTTAGTTGTGTTTTTGTCATTTTTATTATTACTTTATTTTTATTAATACTAATTTAATTTAGTACATCAGATTAAACTAAATGATGCCAACGTTTCATTGGAAACTGGCTGAAATAAAATAAGTTAAATTTTTTTGTATATTTTATTCTATTTCATTTAACATTTAAAGTTACAAAAAAATTTTATGGTCTTAGTTTGAGTTAACTTTAATAACCTTAAGGTCTTTAATAACTTTAAGGTCTGATTCAGCAGGTCAGGTTTTCAATATTAGAAATAAAATTGTTGATGAAAAGTGAGAAAAAAATATTTTCATAATAACAACACGGCAACAACAACAACAATAATAATAACTCCAGGATTTCCTCAAGGATTTTGCATTCATTCATTCATTATGCACTTTTTAGGTATTTGAGTGAATGCGATCACTGATAATACTATTAAAGGGATAGTTTACCCAAAAATGAAAATTTGATGTTTATCTGCTTACCCCCAGGGCATCCAAGATGTAGGTGACTTTGTTTCTTCAGTAGAACACAAACGAAGATTTGATTCGGCTACATAAGGAGCTTAAAATATCATCTTGTTGTGATGTTGGGTGCCAGAATCGACGTAATACAGCCTCAAATTAGAAATTTGATCGCATATCTGCTGCCACTGCCAAAAAACCGACGTCAGCTGTGGTTAAACGCGATAAAACGAGCGGACTGGATAGAAAGGATCGTCAAAAATGCTTGCGTTTGCAGCGCACACTTCTTAAGCATGGACGAGATGTTGTCTGGGGGTTTGGCAAAACGAGAGTGGGACGGTGGGCGGTGCTCGGGGTGGTGACTGAAGGCGGTGACTGTGTAGTTCTGACGTCAACTTTTTACGGAAGTCACAACGGTTTATGAAAAATAGCTAGAACTTTAAGAAGGCTGTGTGAATTTTACTGTGGACTGACTGTTTTGAAACTTATATGGTAGTTAAATAGCTCCTAGACCTCAGTAATCTTGAAAAAAGCCAAGTAATTTCAGTTTTGACAATATGGGACCTTTAAAGAAAATGTTAAAATATAAACAGACAATGATATAATTGTAAAAATTTAAATTAATAAATTGTAAAGACACCTTTAGAATGAGAAATATAACCAGTGACACTGATTACATATTGTACTGATACTGTACTATCACTAACACTAATTACATAAGCACATCATGATTATTGATGGGTTTTCACTGTAAAACAACACACACACACAAAATAAATGCTGCAATTTTCAGAAACACTGCAGCAGTTATTTTGCATAACCCAAAATAAGGAAAAGCCCCACAAAGTTCTGGATAATGATAATGATGAGTTGAATAATGATAATGATGAAGAGGAGGATGATGATGATAATAATAAAAGCTGTAATTATTTTAGTAACTTCAGACAAAGCCACCAGTAAATAATGTGGATGTTGTGTGAATGTTTCTCACAGTCTCTGAGAGCTGTGCATGGAGTATATTGGATATCTCTACAGGCTTGATCTTCTGGAGGTTTTGAAAGTCTCCTCTCTGAGGGACTCTGGGTAAGATCTGGCTCAGTGAACCACTAATCAACTCCATAGGCGCATTCTGGGACTGAAAGAAAAAGAAGAAGAGAGCATATAATGTACAGCCATTACATTTGTCGCTTCTACGTGTAAATTGTCTAACTCTCTGATGCATGACCTTTGATTCACAGTGCGATTCTACATCTAAAAACCACCACGCGTGATTATGTTTCACCGTTCAGTTTAGATGCTGACTATGTAATGAGATTAACAGCACGATTATGCGAATGAGTGTTTTCAAACAACAGTTCAACACACAATTAGTCAAGTAACTTACATTTTAAAGACATATTGCCAGCTCATTTGCCTATTTTTGGGCCGCCAACGAAAACCAAAACAGAATCAATACAATACTGCTGCTTCGGTTCAAAAGGAATCGGTGGTTTTGAACCGAATGATTCAAAGATTCACTCAAAAAGACGTCACTTGACGCCACCTACTGGCGTAAACACAAAAACAAAGAGATTTAATTTTTGTGTAATAATATATTAATTGTAGACAAGTTTTATTTACACAAATGTAGATTTGTTAAAGTTTCTCCATTGTTTTGAGGCATTTAAAAATGATTTGAAATTTTTTAAATGAAAAAAGAAGAGTGTCTTATAACTCTCTAAATTACTGGCAGCATGGATTAACCCCCTGAAATGTAATTTAATTTGTCTTATAATTTGCTTCACATGTTTTGATATTATTTTCACTTTTATTTATTTTTATTATTATTTATTTTATTATGTATAATTGTTTTAATATTTTATTATGCACTGTATTATTGTGTTCATGATATGCTGCTTGGATTTATTGTTGATGTATTCAACAATGGAAAGATGACAATGTTTGTTATTTGAAAGGTTTAATAAAGTGGTAAAATAAAAACTACTGGCGTAAACATGTAGGCTAACTTGCAGAAAGAGAGACAAGCAGAATGACACAAAAATGCACAATAAACTGAGGACTGGAATTGTTTTAGTGTAAACTTAAAGCAACTGTATGTAAGCTTTTCACCTTGAAATATCAGTCTAAAAATCACTCTGATAGTACACTTCTAATAAGGCGAATAGCTTCTTTCCCACACTTTCCCACATTGTGGGCAATGATAGCTGCTGGAGTGCACATCAGTGTCTGAAATTAACGGGGACTTGGGGCAAAAATGCCACCAAAATGCACAAAAATGCCCCTCAAATGTAACATTTAGGCTTGATTTTGTCATGATTTTGCAGCTTCACCCTGTAATGAGTTCCTGTCTTTTATTTTTATTTTTTAAAACATAAATGCCATGTCAGATGCAGCTTATTTAATGGCAAACATGTTGAAGATTAGGCTGTCTATTCATTAATGTTATAAGCGTTATATTTCATCTCCAGCAACATTGTGAACTTTTATAAAGATACGTTTGGTCATTAACTTTTAAATAATTAACGCATCAGGGAGTTCATCTACTGTAAGCGTATAGTCCAGCAGTATGTGAAATAGGCTGTTACCGGTTGAGCTTCCTGAAACTCATGGTGCAGAGACTGATGGTTTGTCACACCTGTCCTCTGTGGACCATGAGAGCTGACGTGGTATTTATTTAACCTGCCAAAAAAAAAAAAAAAGATTAAGAAATTAATTAGCAAAAAAAATGATTATCAAAAAATCTTACCTAGTTGACAAGAAATTATTAGATCCAGTCAGCCAAAACAAATGAGCCAGAGAAGAATTTGTTTCAGATTTCCTTTCTGCAGTATCTGAAGGTGACGTAACCCAACAGCTGTATGTGTTGTTGATGCCCTAGTATTTCAGCTTTCAGACTGTCTGAAAGATAACCAGCTTCATCCTGTTCACAAAAACTTCAGCGTGCTTATCTAGAGAACAAGATTCAAAGGATAGTAAACATTTATTTAAATTAATTAGCAAAAAAAAAGTGCAAGCAACTAAGCCATGAAACAAAACTAGGCTTTGTAATGTGATTTAGTTACTTTTTTATCTCACAATTAAATAAATAAATATCCCAAGTTCTATAATCTTGATGAATATCCCAGAAAAATAACTTTTTTCCATGGGGTTTTGTCTAAACAGTGCAAGCTCTAAAAACATGGAAGCCCAATTTACTGTAGTAGCAATACAATCAAACAGTTGGTGTTTCTGAGTAATTTTAATTGCATAGGCAATCATTTTGAGCATCAAAAATGGTACTTTTTTGCTGCTTTTCACAAGTACCAATTGGTTTTTCCTGCTAATGAAACAACAGACTGACGGAGAGGTGCATCGGTGGTGTTTACCTGAAGAGTGCTTGCTGTGAGTGCTCTTGTAGCCTCATCAATTCTGACTGCAGGCCCTTCAGATGCATTAGCAGACAACAGAACACCATTACTGAACAGCCAAACTATTCTTTCACATAGTCACAAGCCTATACTCAAAACAATGGAATACCTCAATAATTTTGTGACTTTCAAAGTGAGTGTCCTTAAGCTTGTCCAGCAGGATGATTTTCTATGTGGAATAAACAACACGTGCCATAAAGAAAGACACAAATGTACTCAATACAGTAAAATCAATCATCACAGAGTTTAATATCACCTTTGTAAGGTCCCGGTCTTTCACAGCCAGTACCATATGAGATTCTTCTAATTCTCCCTGTGAACATCATCAGACAGTATTAATACTCTAGCTCACTCGGTGGCCCAGTAAAATGCACGCTTACACATTTTCTCACCCTTAATTCAGAGTTTTCTCTCCTCAGTTTGTTTATTCGATCTTCAGCGAGGTTCCTCTCAAGGGTTAATTTTTCATTCTGTGGAAGATATTGTGATTTATTTATATTTCGATATATTTGGAAATACTTGTTCACAATGTAAGATTCTATCAAAGTCAATACCTTTTCTTCAGTTATTTTGATTAGGGCTTTCAAGCGTTCACTTTCCTTTATCTAAAAGACAAATGTCAAGTTATTGGGTATGAATAGTCATTTATGAAACCAGTTTTATCAGTATTAATAACTTCAAGAGCATGAATGATTCATACTAATGCACAGTTGCTGGCCTGTGCTCTTGCGGCTCTGTCCTGGCTCTCCCTCAGTGCACATCTGGTTTCATCGAGTTCCTCTGAAAGGGATCGGGCTCTTACCACAAACAGCTGGGTACTGGTGACATTTGCAAGAAAAAAATTAATATAAACATCTTTATTATATTATACTGATTATATATATATATCAGTTGGATTGCTGACATTGTATATAACATTTATTTATTTATGGCATTTTATAATGTATACACATTTTTTCTAGTTATGCCAAGCTCTATTTTTTTTCCAATCCTTAATCTACCCAAAGTTCACCCCAAAATGAAAATTTCTGAAAATGTATTCAACCTAAGGCCATTCCAGATGTAGATGAGTTAGTTTTTTTTCATCAACACGGATTTGGAGAAATTGAGCATTACATCATTTGCTTACCAGTGGACGCTCTGTAGTGAATGGGTGCCGTCAGAATGAGAGACCAAACAGCTGATAAAAACATCACAATAATCTACAAGTAATCCACACCACTCCAGTCCATCAACTAACATCTTGTAAATGTAAAAGCTGCATCTTTGTAAGACACAAATCTATCATTGAGGTCAAAATATTAATCCATAATCCATAATAAATGCATTAGCAGACAACAGAACACCATTACTGAACAGCCAAACTATTCTTTCACATAGTCACAAGCCTATACTCAAAACAATGGAATACCTCAATAATTTTGTGACTTTCAAAGTGAGTGTCCTTAAGCTTGTCCAGCAGGATGATTTTCTATGTGGAATAAACAACACGTGCCATAAAGAAAGACACAAATGTACTCAATACAGTAAAATCAATCATCACAGAGTTTAATATCACCTTTGTAAGGTCCCGGTCTTTCACAGCCAGTACCATATGAGATTCTTCTAATTCTCCCTGTGAACATCATCAGACAGTATTAATACTCTAGCTCACTCGGTGGCCCAGTAAAATGCACGCTTACACATTTTCTCACCCTTAATTCAGAGTTTTCTCTTCTCAGTTTGTTTATTCGATCTTCAGCAAGGTGCCTCTCAAGGGTTAATTTTTCATTCTGTGGAAGATATTGTGATTTATTTATATTTCGATATATTTGGAAATACTTGTTCACAATGTAAGATTCTATCAAAGTCAATACCTTTTCTTCAGTTATTTTGATTAGGGCTTTCAAGCGTTCACTTTCCTTTATCTAAAAGACAAATGTCAAGTTATTGGGTATGAATAGTCATTTATGAAACCAGTTTTATCAGTATTAATAACTTCAAGAGCATGAATGATTCATACTAATGCACAGTTGCTGGCCTGTGCTCTTGCGGCTCTGTCCTGGCTCTCCCTCAGTGCACATCTGGTTTCATCAAGGTCCTCTGAAAGGGATCGGGCTCTTACCACAAACAGCTGGGTACTGGTGACATTTGCAAGAAAAAAATTAATATAAACATCTTTATTATATTATACTGATTATATATATATATCAGTTGGATTGCTGACATTGTATATAACATTTATTTATTTATGGCATTTTATAATGTATACACATTTTTTCTAGTTATGCCAAGCTCTATTTTTTTTCCAATCCTTAATCTACCCAAAGTTCACCCCAAAATGAAAATTTCTGAAAATGTATTCAACCTAAGGCCATTCCAGATGTAGATGAGTTAGTTTTTTTTCATCAACACGGATTTGGAGAAATTGAGCATTACATCATTTGCTTACCAGTGGACGCTCTGTAGTGAATGGGTGCCGTCAGAATGAGAGACCAAACAGCTGATAAAAACATCACAATAATCTACAAGTAATCCACACCACTCCAGTCCATCAACTAACATCTTGTAAATGTAAAAGCTGCATCTTTGTAAGACACAAATCTATCATTGAGGTCAAAATATTAATCCATAATCCATAATAATGCTTCCTCCAGTGAAAAAGTCCATCCCCTGTTGACCTCTCACATCAAAATCTACCAACATATTTGTTTAGAACTGTTTTGGACTGACCAGATGACTTTTTCACTGGAGAAAACAATATTATGGATAGAGGACGCACATTTTAGCCAAAAACAGTGGTTTGAAATTCAATGATCTTAATGATTTTTTTTCTTCTTCTTTTTTTTTTTTTTTTACATTATTTATTTATTTTTACAAACGCAGCTTTTCACTTCACAAGATGTTAACTGATGGACTGGAGTGGTGTGGATTACTTGTGGATTATTGTGATGTTTTTATCAGCTGTTTGGACTCTCATTCTGACGGCACCCATTCACTGCAGAGCATCCATTGGTGAGCGAGTGATGTGATGCTAAATTTCTACAAATGTGTTCAGATGAAGAAACAAACTCATCTACACAAACTATTCCTTTAATTAAATAAATTAATATATTTAATTTAGTATTAAGTGTAGAGAACATTTCAGTGATATCTGTCAAGTTGTATTGTTATGCATATACAGTATAAACACACACAGATATTTTTTTTTTGTGTGTGGGAAAAGAGGTGTATATAGTGGATACCTGGCCAGTTTGGTGTGCAGCTCTGATACCTCCAGACTGAGCTGCAGGATGGTGTCCTCACACTGAGAAACGGTCCTCAGCAGGCTGCTGTTCTGCTCACTCAACCTGTGCTGAGTGTGTTTGAGCTCAGCCACTAAACCTGACAAATCTTCAGATTCACTGAAACCACACAGACTCATCAGAGACTATTGCTGATATCACAGATGCTCTTAAAGGCCCAATGAAATCAAGTGACAAGTGACGTGACATGTGGCCAAGTATGGTGACCCATACTCGGAATTAGTGCTCTGCATTTATCCCATCCAAAGTGCACACACACAGCAGTGAACACACACACCGTGAACACACACCCGGAGCAGTGGGCAGCCATTTTTTTGCTGCGGCGCCCAGGGAGCAGTTGGGGGTTCGGTGCCTTGCTCAAGGGCACCTCAGTCATGGTATTGAAGGTGGAAGAGAGCGCTGTACATTCACTCCCCCCACCTACAATCCCTGCCGGTACGAGACTCGAACCCGCAACCTTGGGTTACGAGTCCGACTCTCTAACCATTAGGCAATCAAGGAAACACTTGTCAAGCAGTAGTAAAAAGAACATTAAAATTACTTAACTAACCAATGACATTCAGCTCCATCTGTAAATGTGGCCTCATTTAAAGGAAGATGATATTCAGTCCCTATGGGAATAATGTGAGACTGGTTTAAGAGTAAAGTTTAAAATGTCTCAGTTACAAAAAAAAACAAACTTTTATTCAGGAATGATGCATTAAATTGATCAAATGTGTCAGTAGAGACATTCATAATCTTTACAAAAGATTTCCATTTCAAATAAATTCTGTTCTTTTGAACTTTGTATTCATCAAAGAATCCTAATAAAATCATATTAGAATGATTTTTGAAGGATCATGTGGCACTGAAGACTGTAGTTATGATGCTGAAAATTCAGCTTTGCATCACAGGAATAAATAACATTTTAAAACATATTCATATAGAAAACAGTCATTTTAAATTGTAATATTTCAAAATATTTTCTTCCAAAAACTTTTGAAGAGCGTGTAAACTTTCACTATTATTCACTTACCAGTTACAGATAATTTTCTTAAGGTTGATCCTGTTTCTGTTTTTTTATTCTCAGATGCCCTGTACATAAATCAATGTTTAGTCAACTTTATAATATCTCTTCTTAAAATTCGTCACATCGTATAAAGCCACAACCCTGACATTGTGTTTTTGACAGCATCTCTCACCCATCTTGGCAGCACTGTGTGATCCACTCTCTCATGGTGGCATGAAACATATCCCTACTAACAGGTGGGTCCTGGTTCTCTGGATCCAACATGTGTTGTAAATTGGTCAGCTTGTCCTGGCCGGAGCTTTGGAGGGTCATGGACTGAAGATACTGCACAATGGTGGAGGCCTGAACCTCTCCTGTAGGTAACAGAGATATACCATTCAATTGGAGTCGGTAAGATTTTTTTGTCTTTTTATGTTTTTGAAAAACATTTTAAAATATATTTTTTTATATTATTATATAAAATATTATAATTTTAGATTTAATTAAACTATTATCATTGTATATGCATGATTATTTTTTATGAATCTATGCAAGTTTAGATATAATTATACTACTTTCATTGTCCATTTTTATTAATATTAAAAGTATTTATCGATTTAATATTAAATGATACATTTATATAAAATGTTACTATCATCATGTCACTATGTATTTGTTATTGTTATTTTTTATCTGTATATCATTTTTGTCACGGTGCGTGCGGGGAGATGAAGCGAGAACTCAAGTGCAGGAGAAATGGTTGTTTATTTTAATAATAAAAATGAAACAAAAACAAACTCAAACCACCCCGAAGGTGCAAAACAGACAGGCAGGTCTAAAAGCTGCACACATGCAGACACGAAACACACACAATGAGAAATGATGGATCAGCACAGGATGACAGACACAAGGAGAATAAATGGGAACCAAACGAGGAGGCTAACGAGGGAGACACAGGTGGATCAACTTAAACTATAACGAGGTAACAAGATGGGAGGGGCAAGACAATAAGACAGGAGAGAGCACATGGCGACAGACAAACACAACACAAGCCATGTGCTCACAGAACATAGTCATCTGGTGGCCCTCCTGGGCACACCCGCTGCAGACTGCGACAATTTTATTATACATTTAGATATAAATATAGCATGATATCGTAGATGTTTTACTAATAAGATTGTTTATCTTTGAGATATTATATTATAATTTTTCATTTATTAAATTATTATCATATCAAGGTATTATTATTATTATTATTTTCATTGTTATTCATCTATATAACTTTGTATTATAGTTTCATATTATACTATTATTATATATTTTTATATTTGTTATTAATTATCTTTACAACAACAAAATCAACAATAACATAAATATGTATTCATAAATTATAAGTAATATAAAATTATAAATAATTTATTATTATAATTATGAATCTATTTATACAATATGATAATGTAGTATAGTAGTAATGAAATAGTAATTTTATCTAAAATTATATTATAATATTCAGCATTGTACATTTGTTATTTTTATTATTATTTATCTTTCTATTTTTATTATTATTTATTAATATTAACATAAAAATTATATTATAAATGTAGATGTAGATATGCTTTAATCGCATCATATGTGTTGTTTTTGTTGTTACTATTATTCATTTGGCAAACCATACTCAAGCTAAGTATACTTTTATTAATATTTTTAATTTTTAATCGTTTGTCACGTCACATGATAATTTAGTGACGACAGAAAGGTCTTTAAAATGTTGAAACAAGAATTAGTGACCAGTTTTTGTTTATTTAAAGAAAAGTCCATATGTTTAATGAACGTTCGAGGACTTTTAATTTGAAGCGCTTTACCGCTAACCCGGAAGTGTAGTGTATTTTGTTGGTCAGGTTCAGTCGGTGATGTTGTGGAGAAGCTGCTGCTGCTGCTGATCATCACTGGATACGAACGAGTACAAACCAAAAACTGCAATATTGGGGTTTTGGCTTGAGTCGCAACCATGTCTCGGGGGTCTATTGAAATCCCTCTGCGGGACACAGATGAGGTTTGGACTTGTTTTATCTCTGTGCGGTGCTGAATATAATTTGATTGCAGCTCTGTGAATAGCTATAATCTGCTAACATGCTATCATTCACGCGCTTTTAATAAGTTTACATAAAATTACTAAACTAACAGCGGCGAATGACAGAAATACCCCCGTGAGTCTTAGGCTACTCAATCATAAATCATAAAACGAGAAACTCCGAACGTGTTTCACATGATGGAAATACTTCATCCGAGCATCTTTTAATCCTTTTCTGTTGAAGTTCATGTCTATATTATATTTAAGTTACACTGCCGTTCAAAAGTTTGGGATCAGTAAGATTTGTAATGTTTTTTTAGGAGAAGTCTCTTCTGCTCATCAAGACTGCATTTATTTGATCATAAATGCAGAAAAACAGTAATATTGTGAAATATTATGACAATTTAAAATAATGGTTTTCTATTTTAATATACTTTAAAATATAATTTATTCCTGTGATGCAAAGCTGAATTTTCATCGGCATCCTTACGCCAGTCTTCAGTGTCACGTGATCTTTCAGAAATCATTTTATTATGCTGATTTATTATCAGTGCTGGAAACATTTTTGCTGCTTAATATTTTTTTCAGGATTCTTTGATTAATAAAAAGTTAAAAAGCATGTTTTAGTTTATTCAAAATATAAATCTTTTGTAACAATATACATTACTGTTCAAAAGTTTGTGGTCAGTTTTTTTTTGTTTTTCTTTTCTTTCCTTTTTTTTTTTGAAAGAAATAAATGCTTTTATTAAGCAAGGATGTGTTAAATTGATAAAAAGTGATAATAAAGACTTATATTGTTAGAAAAGATTCCTATTTTAAATAAACACTGTTCTTTTTACCTTTTATTCATCAAATAAAGTTTCCAAAAAAATATTAAGCAGAACAACTGTTTCCAACATTGATAATAAATCAGCATATTAGAATGATTTCTGAAGATCACGTGACACTGAAGACTGGAGTAATGATGCTGAAAATACAGCTTTGCATCACAGAAATAAATGATATTTTAAAGTATATTAAAATAGAAAACCATTATTTCAAATGGTAATAATATTTTACAATATTACTTATTTTCTGTATATTTGGTCAAATAAATGCAGCCATAATGAGCAGAAGAGACTTCTGTAAAACACATTAAAAATCTTACTGATCCCAAACTTGTTTTGAACAACAGTGTATTTGTGAAATGTCCTTTATTGAAAACCAAGCAAATTGTATAAACGAGTATAAACCAACATCTCAGGAGTAAATAGAAGAAAACAATTACAGAAAGCATTGTACATATTAAACAGCACCGTAGTTCGTATTACATAAGTTTACTTTTAGACATTGTTTCCAAATACATTTTAATCCTAATTTTAAATTGTTCAAACATAGGCATTTTTTTATTTATTTTGACTTTATGAATATATGACAACGCGCCGACGTGCATGTCAAATACAAATACTAGAAACACCTTAACATCTCCAAATTAATCGTAGCTTCTACCAAATTAACAATAATCCTAGCTTCATATATTTTAAAAATAATTATAAAATACATTTTTAATTTTCTCCAAAAACTGTGTACCTTATGATATTCCCAAAATAAATGACTAATCGTCTCAGGGGCATTTTTACAAACATTCTTTCACATTAACTGAAGCTATATTTTATTGCATGTTATTAATATACGATATTTATTGTAGTTGTTAGAGCTCCACTGTCTGTATCAGCCAACCTCACTGGTGGAATTTTATCTTATTCTCATGATCTCGTCCTTGTTAATGGTCATTCATTTGTTGCATCTTTCTCAGGTTATTGAGCTTGACTTTGACCAGCTTCCAGAAGGAGATGAAGTCATCAGTATCCTCAAACAGGAACACACACAGCTGCACATATGGATTGCACTCGCTGTGAGTGACAAGCTCGTTTATGGTGACATTATTAGGATTTCTGCAGCGCAAAAATCTCACAACTATTTCTTTGCAGTTGGAGTACTACAAACAAGGCAAGACGGAAGATTTTGTCAAGTTGCTGGAGGCGGCTCGCATTGATGGAAATCTTGATTACAGAGACCACGAGAAGGACCAGATGACGTGTTTGGATACACTGGCAGCTTATTATGTCCAGCAGGCTCGAAAAGAGAAGAACAAGGATGCAAAGAAGGACCTCATCAACCAGTCCACTCTTCTGTACACCATGGCAGACAAGATCATCATGTATGATCAGGTAAATTAAGGTTACAGTTTTCATAGTAATCTCTGTTATTGTTGTATTTTTTTTGATAGGTCTTTAGCCTTATGACATTTCTCATTTCCGCAGAACCATCTGCTGGGAAGAGCTTGCTTTTGTCTCCTGGAAGGAGATAAGATGGATCAGGCAGACGCTCAGTTTCAGTTTGTACTTAACCAGTCAACAAACAACATCCCTGCACTCCTGGGTAAATATGGCACATGATCTTTATATACTTAAAAGTCTGATTTAAAGTCAACTTGAAATCACAATTCACTTTATTTTTCCTAATACAGCAGAGTTTCTGTGGGTCTTGAAAAGTCTTAATTCGCCCTTTCACAAACTAAGGCCTAAAAAGGTCTTAAATTGGAGCGAAAAGTCTTAAAGGGGTCATATGATGCTTTTTTAAAGATCATTATTTTGTGTATTTGGTGTAACAGAATATGTTGACATGCTTTAATGTTCAAAAAACACATTATTTTTCAAATACTGTAAATACTGTAAGGTCCTCTATGCCCCGCCTCTCTCAAACGCTTCGTTTTCTACAAAGCCCCCCCAAAGAGAAAGGAAAACTTGAAATCGCATCATATGACCCGTTTAAATTCGTGAATTCATGCCATTAAATGTTGCATTTTCCTCAGTGCAAATATCTGAACATCATTAAATCAAGATACATTTACTTGAGATGCAAATTGAACATGTTTGGTTTTCTGAGAAAATGAACAAAATGAAGTGAGTTTGTTTAAAACATGAATAAATATGTTACCCTGGACCACAAAACCAGTCATAAGGGTCAATTTTTCGAAATTGAGATTTATACATTATCTGAAAGCTGAATAAATAAGCTTTCCATTGATGTATGGTTTCGAAAAAAAGTCAAAATATTGAGAAAATCGCCTTTAAAGTTGTCCAAATGAAGTCTTTAGTAATGCATATTACTAATCAAAACTGAATATATTATACACACACACACACACACATTTACACTCACAGACACACACACACTCACACACACACACAAACAAAGAAAAACAAGTAGATAAAATAGAAAAAATAGAAAGCTAGTGTTTGTTTTTTTTAATAAAAAAAAAAGATAAATATAGATAAAGTAGAATTAAAATAAAATAGATTGCATCTTAAATTTGAGGGAGAAAAAAACACAAATTGTGATCTGGCCTAATTTGATAATCAAACTTCATATTCTATCATATTAGTTGATTTAATTTAATTAAATGTGATTGCTGCATGCTCAAAGTCAAAACAGGTCAATCTTGCACTTTCTACAGGATCAGGTTTGAGCGTGGATCGCAATCATTGGCTATTGCACATTTATGCCAAGCGTTTGCTATTAATAGAGGTTGTCTTGTTATGAATGATTATTTATGTTTATGTCCTTCAATAGGTAAAGCATGTATCTCTTTCAACAAAAAGGATTACAGAGGGGCTCTAGCCTACTACAAAAAAGCTCTTCGCACTAACCCTGGCTGTCCAGGTGAGTCTGCCTGATGTGTTGAAAATACTATTACCTTTTCCTTAAAACCTGACCACTTCCTAGATTGTCATAGTAGATCAATGTATTCTAATCACATCTTGACAAAATATATATCAATTGAAAGATGAAGAAACTTCAGTACTATATATTGTAATAAATATTTAGGGCCCTTATGAAATTTGTTTTATTTTTCCTAAAATTCTGTGTGTTCTGTTTTAATTTTTCTGTATTTTGTTTTAATGGTCTAAATAAATTTGAATAATCAAAATGCAAGTTAAATCAATAGAATTCGTAGCTTTAACATTTTAATAATTTATTTAAAATTTTGGTTACACTTCATTTCGATAGTCCACTTTAGACATTCTACTAGCTAGCTACATGTCAACTAACTCTCATTACAGTATTAGTAGACTATTAGGTTAGGGTTAGTAGAATAAGTTGACATGTACAGTACTTGCAAAGTCACTTATAGTTAGTAGGATGTCTAAAGTTGACTATCAAAATAAAGTGTTACCACAATTTACTAATTTAAAAATTCATATAAAATGTTTTTTTTTCTCTTCTCAGAAATTCTGTGTTGTCTCTTTATGTCTTTATGATGTAATACAATTGATCCTCAAACAAATGAAAATTGGGTGATTCCAGATATTGTTTTGGCACAGCAGAGGTTTACTATTAAAATTTTTAAAAATGTAGCGATAGAAAAATATTGCTTAAATTATTACTTTGAGAAGTACATTCTACTGTACAATAGTAATATTTCTGTCAAGTTTAGATATGACTATAATTTTATCAAGTGAAATGCTTGTGGCTCTGAAGATGAAGTTCATGTGTTCATGACGGCAGACGCTGAAAAAAAAGCAGAAGTGTCACGCATGCTTGAGTATAATGCAATTTGATTAGCTGTACAGTCCTACTTTTGATATATTCATCCAAAATTTGCTACATTCTGTGAAATTCCACATTTTGCTGTAAATTCCATTTTTATGACTGAATTCCGTGATTCTGCATCACCGAAATCTTAGGGCTCTATATTTAAGCCAAGTGCTGTAATCTCAAATGTTGCTTTCTGGTCTGTGTTCCAAACTGCTGGTTAACAGGTTAACCTTGACTGGTCAAGACTCACAGAGCTCATTTCTGTGTAAATTGTCTTATTGCAGCCGAGGTGAGACTAGGCATGGGCCACTGCTTTGTCAAGCTCAACAAACTAGAGAAAGCTCGATTGGCATTTGGCAGAGCCCTGGAGCTCAACTCCAAATGTGTGGGAGCTTTGGTGGGTTTGGCTGTGCTGGAGCTCAACAGCAAAGAGGCCGACTCCATCAAGAACGGGGTGCAGCTGCTTTCCAGAGCCTACACCATTGACCCCAGCAACCCCATGGTGCTCAATCACCTCGCCAATCATTTCTTCTTCAAGAAGGTAAAGCTAGATCTCTCTTGTGATCTACTGTTTTGAAGTGGAGATCTTGTACTTTATATGTGCTTTGTGCTTTTCAGGACTACAGCAAAGTGCAGCATCTGGCTCTTCATGCTTTTCACAACACCGAGGTAGAGGCTATGCAAGCAGAGAGCTGCTATCAGTTAGCTCGTTCCTTCCACGTCCAGGTAGGAAAGAGACTTCTTTCATTTGAAATAGTTATCAATCAGTATATTTCAGTTATAACATGTAATAACATATATATAAGATAGATAATTAGCTGGGAATAATAGCATAATCAACATTAAACAGTGTTATTTTAGTATTATTTTTAGTGTTTTATTCATATTTTAACTTGATTTATTTTTGATTGGCTTTTATTATATTTTTAGATTTAATTTTAAATTTTAGTAATTTTATTACATGCTTTTGTCTTTGTTTATTTTTATTTCATGAATTAAATTAATATTTGAATTAACTTATACATTTTATTACATTTTAATAAATTTTTAGTTTCAGTAATTTTAGTACCTAAACTTATTTCAGTAATCTAATATTGTTATTTATTTTTAATCTAATATTTATATTTAACTGTATTTTATTACAGCTTTATTTTAATTACAGAAAACTATTTTTAATTGTTTGTTTTAATTAACAATCGAAACACTGACGTCAAAACCTTTTACTGACCTAGTTTCAGTAATTTTAGTACCTAAACTTATTTCAGTAATCTAATATTGTTATTTATTTTTAATCTAATATTTATATTTAACTGTATTTTATTACAGCTTTATTTTAATTACCGAAAACTATTTTTAATTGTTTGTTTTAATTAACAATCGAAACACTGACGTCAAAACCTTTTACTGACCTCAACACTGACCTTTAACTTGTGTGTATATATATATATTTTTTTTTTTTTACACGTTTTACAAAAAGTTAAGTATTTAGTGTAACATTTACTCAGAATTGTTAAAGACTGATAATATGGACGGAGGCCAAACATTATTCGACCTGGCCAATATATCAGCCTGTCAGTCAGCTTAAATTTCCTGCAGTGTTTAACACCAATGGTGATAAACTTGCACATGTCTTTGTTTTTAGGAGGACTACGACCAGGCCTTCCAGTACTATTACATTTTTGTTTCTGTGTTTTTTATTTTAATTTGTTAAATTTTAGTCATTTTCAGTAATTTATGTATGACTATATACTTTTAAATTGTTTTATTAAATCAAGTTAAACTGAAATGAGAAATGTTGCTAGCTGAAATAAAGTTTTTTATTAAAGTTGATTTAATTTCAAGTAACAATTTTTTTTAATGGTTTAAGTTATCTATAATAACGCTGCAGTACAGCTGTAGTTTTTATCTTGCACTTTTGGCTAACGCACCTAGACTTTCTAGACGTTTTTTTCAGGCTTTTGGTGATTTCTTCAGATCTGTATTAATAAATTGTGTTTTGCAGGACCATCCTGACGCCTGGTCACTGATTGGTAACCTTCACTTGGCGAAGCAAGAGTGGGGTCCCGGGCAGAAGAAGTTTGAACGCATCCTTAAGCAGCCCTCCACTCAGAACGACACTTACTCGATGCTGGCGTTGGGTAACGTGTGGCTCCAGACGCTGCATCAACCCACTAGAGACCGAGAAAAGGTGCCTTACGTGATTCAGTTGACAAACTATCTTGTGTTGTCATAATTTGTTGTCTGTTTCTATTTATTACATTTTTTTTGTTTGTTTTGCAGGAAAAGCGGCACCAGGATCGAGCTTTGGCGATCTACAAACAAGTTCTGAGGAATGATGCCAAAAATCTATATGCTGCCAATGGCATAGGTGCTTTACCTGCTGTTTAATTAGTCTTGTAAATCCTGTCCTGTAACTAGCAGTATAAACCAACATACTGGTGGTTAACTGTCTTTTGCATCTTTCTTCCGTGTGATGCAGGTGCTGTGTTGGCACATAAGGGTTATTTCCGAGAGGCACGGGATGTTTTTGCCCAGGTCCGAGAGGCCACGGCAGAGATCAGTGATGTCTGGCTGAATCTCGCACACATCTATGTGGAGCAGAAGCAGTACATTAGTGCAGTGCAGATGGTGAGAGAATAAACTGAAGGAACAGTCCCCTGAGGATGAGGGTTTTGTTCTGGATCTGTACTCATGTTCTGTTTTCTTGTCTCCTCAGTATGAAAACTGTTTGAAGAAATTCTACAAATATCAGAACACAGAGGTACTGCTGTATCTGGCCCGAGCGCTCTTCAAATGTGGCAAGCTGCAGGAGTGTAAACATACTCTTCTGAGGGTGGGCGAATCTTAATAGAACTTAGTAGTTTCTTTTCTTTACTGCAGGGTTTCCCAAACTGGGTTTTGTAAATTAGTGAAAAACTGATAATTGATTAAATCATGAAAAATTAAAACAAACAATCAAAATAAAACACATTTTATATATAAATATTTTATTTGTCATGTGTATATATGTATATATATATATATATATATATATATATAATTTTTATTTTT